TTCAAATTATTTGCAATCTTCCACTAATTTTCGTAATAGATTAAAGTTTTTTTCTATACTATCGAGCCATTTATTTGAATTAGCTACATTCATTTCAAGAATAGTTTGGTTTCATCCAACAATTTAAAAATTTCATTTTTCCAGTTTTGAAACAAGATTAAATCTTGGTCAACATCAACAGTATCGATTAAGTGTTTATCTGAATCATCAATAGCATTTATCAAGTATTCATCTAAATTAATTGTAATAGATTCTTGTTCATAAACTTGATCATTAAATTGTAATTCACAAGTATTGGAATTGGTATGGTGATAGAAATTTAAATTTTTTATTGAAGTATAAATATCTTCAGGCAAGTCGACGAAGGTATTTTCTTTTTTAACTTCTAATAGGGGTAATGATCTTGACGTATTACCTTAAAATTAGCAAAGATATAATAGGATTTAATTGTAGATATTGATTTAAAGCAGATAATAATTTTTTACAGTACGTACCTTTTTAAAAAATCCTGGTTCAATGGGCCCATAAATTTGTACCAGGTGTTTGCATATATGAAAGTGACTTAAAAAAAAACAATAACATGAACAAATCTAGCATACAGAATTAGTAATGTGAGTAGAATTAGGATTGACTATCTTAGTAGTTAGTTTTTTCTATTCAAGTCAAAAGTCTTCTCTCCACTTTGTTATATATCGATTATTGCGTAGTAACTGTAGTTGATCAACTTGCTGTAATATAACCTTCATAGCAATAATATAAATTATTAAATCAAGTTGTGCATGATTATAACTTGATAAAAAATTATGTTTTAATACACGCCAATAGCTTTTAATAGCTATTGTGCTTCATAAAATATTAAGTTTTGGGTTTGATGTATTTGCCAATAATTTCCACATTTTAGAGTAGTACTACTCTGTCCATAAATAAATTCAAACATGGTTTAGATTATTTTTGTAACAATAATCATATTGTTGCTTAACACTTTCATTTCAAATTTGATCTATATTTAAAAAATTTGATGAACCAGAAAGTTTTATTGGTATCATCAGATGCTATGAGAAGTGAATGTGAATCATTTGAAGAATTGTTTCACAAAAGTTTTTTTGGAAAAAAACCTTTTTTTTATTATTATTATCGTTATCCTATTTTTTTCTTGAGCCAAAGTATCCATATAGTAAAACACATGCAATTACAATGTGGTTTAAAAGCTTAG